AATGGTAAAACATAAGAAGAAAATAAAGCTCTTCTAAGAACCCTAGACGTTTTACCAAAAAATATAAAAGAATTAATGAGACATAATCGTGGTCTAATTTTCAACATAGACATATGGATTAGTTTGCCCCATCCTAACCTAGGAGTAATATAATATCCAAGATATTTAAACTCTTTTGTCCACTTAATTGTATGACCACCAAGTATAATATCAAATTGAGGAGAAAAAGGAGCACGTGTACTCCATAAAGCTTCAGTTTTAGTATAATTTATCGGTTGAAGTGTAAGAAGATAATAGTATTCAAGTTGATCACAAAATAACTTGAGTCTTTTCTCTAGATCTATACATTGAATAGAAAACTTCAATCCTATCTGACCAGCAACAACAGCGGCCAAGTCGTCAGCAAAAAGATGCGACGACGACCACGAAAGAAAAGCAGGCATATCAGCATGATATGATATAAAAACAGTAGGCGTAAGGGAACTTCCCTGGGGACCACCTTTTTCAATCCCAAACCATCTAGATTTTACACTAATAATTTCAATGAATCCTCTTCTATTCTCAAGCCAAGCTCTGATCCAATTAGTGAATGATGGTGGAATGCCCATTTTACGAAATTTACCAACACAACCTTCATGCCATAACATATCAAACGCACTTTTGAAATCAACAAACAACGTAATCGTTGGAGAACTGTTAGGCATCAGACTATATATATTACCAAAAAATAACAACAATCTTGATTGCAACATAAACCCTTCACGAAACCCCGATTGATTATTAGGAAGTAAACCTCTTCTATATAGAACATCACGAAATCTAGATAAAAACAAATTTTCATCAACTTTTTGAAAACAATCTAATAAAGATATAGGACGAGTTAATGCAGGTGAACAAACTGAATCTTTTTTAGCTAAAAGTAAAATTCTAGTATCTTTCCAGGCAATAGGAATAACAGCGGAAGAAAAAGAGAGATTATAAAGATGAAGAAGAAATGACCAATGCGATGAATGTAAGAAATTGAACATATAATTACTCAAACCATGTGCATCTAAAGATTTCTTTTTTTTAAATACAATCAACTTCCTGTAATAATTCATCTAAAGATACTTTAGGAATAGGATCATCTTTATTATCAAAATCTAACAATGGTGCATCAACATAAGAATGTGGTCTGACTATATTGTCAGATCTTCTGAAAAAATCTTCATAAAAACTAGCACCTATATCACACATTCCAACAGGATCATTCACAATTGCACCTGAAGAAGTAATAAAACCATTAAGAGAGGAGGAAGTTGGTTTAATAAAACGTTTAGCCTTTGACCAAAAAGAGACAGATATAGGAGATCTTGTATGTCTTAGTTGCAGAGCATAAGACAGTTGAGAGGATAAAAAGAATTTAAGTTCATTTTTAATAATTTTCCGTAAGTAACATACTTCTCGTTTTAAATCTAAGCTTTTAGTTCTCTTCTGACGAAAAGAAAGAGCTCGTACATAAGACATAGAGCAACGTATATAAGGTGGAATAGCAATTCTATATTTGCTCAACAGAAAAACTACTGTACAACGAGCTGTAAGAAGACTAAGAAATTGAATATAATCATCATAGGAAGCATCAATATTTTCAAAACACCAACACTTTTCCCAAAATTGAAATGTATATTCTGTAAATAAAATTTCATAGGTAGAACTGAAATTACTGGACAATGGTCACTAGTAGTTTTCATTTTATGCATTTGAATGTCAATTCTAGTAATATTTGAAAAAGCATAATCAATCTTTGTATCTGATTTAAGAGAAGTAGGATCATCAGGTACAAAAGGAGATAAAAATAATGAGTCAGCTCAATTCAACAAATTATCAGCTATAACACCATCTTGCTCTAAATCTACATTGAAATCACCATATACAACACTATTATCATTAACAAAAGGAGATAGATCCTCCCAGCTCCATGAACGACTATCAGGCGCATACACACCTATTTTTCTAAGATCTTCCTCCAACTCAGCATCAATGACACATACATTAGGTAACTTACATTCTACTCTTTTAACCATAATTCCATTCCGAACCAAAATCAAAACACCACCATTACTGTTTTCACCAGATTGTTGAAAAATTTTAAAGTCACAAAAGATCTGTCTAAAATCAGATAAATCAATGCATCCTGTTTCTAAAAGAATATGTAAAGGAGAAAAAAATCGAAGATGAATTAACATACACGTATTTTTTCCAAATCGAAAAACACGAAGATAAAAGAGAGCAACTTTCCCACTCTGAGAGAATCAAACAAAACATATTATAATCAAAATGAGAAAGATTCAACTTAGCTCTACATAAAAACAAATCTCTTTTATTACAATTTAAAAATCAGGAACAACTAAAAAAAGGTAAAGCAATAGGTGAAAGGTTCATTATATGAAGCTTTTACCTTCCATCACATCGGACATTTGATTGCGAAAACGATCAGTTTTACTTTTTAAATCAGGATCAACAGTTTTACGACCTCTTCCTACATTCTTCGTATCAATAAATTTTAGAATATCATCTAACATAGGAAATAAAAATTGTTTAAAAATACCATCATTTGATTTCATCAATTTGTCTAAATCATTCACCTTTTCGTTCAATACTATTACATTTTAATCCATTTTATTATTAATAGATTTAAGATGATCAATTTCATTATTAATTCTTATATCATTTTCATTTTTTTCAATCATAAACTGTTGAAAACCTTGATTTGTAACACACAATTTACTTAAAGTTTCATTAACTTGAGAAAGACCTGATATAAGAGTATTTAATTTTAAATCCATTGGATTACTAGATGGTGCCCAAGGAGCTGCTGCACGAGGAAAATCATTATGAATATGTTGAGACTTGTTATTATTAGCTATATTAGCTGCAATAGACGAAGAATATGAAGTAACATTATTATTGATGTTCATCAGTTTTTTTGTAAGATCAGCACGAAAGGTTTTAATAACAGGGCATTTTATAGAGTTAGATAGATGATCACCATTGCAATGTTTACATTTAATAATAGATGAACAATGATGCATTTTTAAATCTTTAAAAGATTGACGACAGGATTTACAAGTTTCATCTTGTTCAGCACATTGACGACGAAAATGTCCTATTGAACAACATTTTGAGCATATTAAAACATTCACAGGAGCAATATATTCTTCAATTTCATAACA